TAGATAGACATCTAATTAAAAAAAAAAAGAAAAAGAGTTAGAGTTTGTGAAAACAGTGTCCAGAGATAATCAAGAACACACAAAGAGCTGCATGTTTTATAGACATCTAATTAAAAAAAAAAAAAAAGAAAAAAGGACATTTATATTAGATTACACCGTTTCACTTAGAGGCAACTTTCTATAGAGAAAACAGTCTCTAACACATGACAGTTCTCAGGAAAGGGGAATAAGCCAACTATGGAAAACTCTGGATTTACATCACATCACTACCAAGTATCCTCCTTCCAGAATTCTAACTAACATTTTGAAAATGTGGAGTTTGACTATTGAGATGAACCCTAATGTGTTCCTTTATGCCATCTTCTAGGGGCTTATTTTCTCTCCATGAGCAAGACACACGGTTTTTTCCACTTTTCCTGCAGACGACCCAAACTTGTCAAAAGGGAACAGAAGGGAGGAAAACCCCAACCATGGAGTAAAGTCTTCAAGATCTGAAGACTTGTCAAAGCTAAAAGTTCATCTTTCTTACTTTTGGCATTGAAGTCACCCTTCCAGAGACAAACAAAAAAAGCATCTGCCTCTTCTTCCTGCAGTGTTGCTGTCTTAATTCTCCCATATAAGGTGCAATCTAAAAACAATAATGACCGAACAGGCATATCTGACAGTTCTCTCCAACATTGTTCAACAGCAGGACTGACCAAGACAAAATGCTGGAGTTCCCTGTATAACATGAGGTCCCATAGGTTCATTATTGCTTTTTTTTCAAATATCTCCAGTATCTTTTCATAGGCATCTGCTGTCAATTTCACTGATAACAGCAATGTAAGTCAACAAGGAGCCATAAATACAGATCTTTTTAATCTGATTTTAAACTTTATTCTTTTTCAGTCAATAGAAGAGAGGAAAAGTAAATGTCCTGCTGTCCAAAGTGGCAATTTGGCTTCTACCACAGATGTTGTACTTCTCCCATGGCAAAATTTCACTCTAAAAAGGCAGAATATGGTCTGGAGAAAAATATTTCTATAGGATAGGCTAACTGCTATATGCTTTACTACTCTTGGTATATGGAACCATGTAAATGAAATTTGAAGTCCTTATTTCTGGCATAAATTTTACAAACAACAATGTAGGATATTGAATTTGTACAAGCAGCAGTTTCAGAGTGAGGTACAGCTGAGAAGAGTATAGTTGGTCTGCAACAGATAAACTAATGTAAAGATACTTTTCTTTGGCTTTTAAACTAACATTCTTCAAATCAAGTTCTTCAAGGACAGCTGTTGTAAAGGCTGTAAAGGTTATTTGGGGATTTTGGGGAAGATGAGACTTGCAAAACGCCAAATACCACATCTCGGTAAGTTACAATGTTCCAAAAGCCTCAGTTAATTCATATAGAAAAGCGACTAACTAACTATTCTGACTGAAATCCAAGAGTACACTCTCTAAGTTGAGCTGCAGAACTACGACTGGTCAAACAGATTTAACAAAAGGGAACAAAAAAGTGAAAATAAACGCTTGGTTAGATATGGGAATCAATAAGGTAAGGGGAAAAAAGCTTGTCTTTTTTATGACTGTTATTGAATCCAGATTATGAAAGTTTAAGACTTCTCATTTTGTGTTTCAGGGACCCTTTGCAGTTCCTGGTTCTATTGTAATGATATTGTGATATTGTTTCTTCAATTTAACAGTGAAAAAAAGTACAGGCTAGAATTCAGGATAGCCCTGTAGAATTTGAATGAACCACACTGTTCTTTCAACTGCTATTACAGGTAGCATCTTTTGCTGGCACAAGATGAAGGCAAAACAGTACCTGAAATGCTATGCTGAGGTCACTTGCAATTTTCTGTGTGCTACATAAGTATTATTTAGCCAGCTGCACAGGATTTGAATGGAGAGTAATTATTGCTACATCTTCATTTTGTGATGGAATAAATGCTTTCTTCCAAAGAAAAATACATTTTGTGTAATTGCTAGCCCCTTTTTCCATGTTTTTTTACAGGGGCTCAAAATATTTCTAAAAAAATGTGGATTTTTAGAATAATCAATATTTATCCAAACAAAAATAAGGAATATGTCTGAAAGCACATTAAAATTAGAAAAAATCTGGAATTGTGCTATCACTCAAATTAAAACCGAGGCAGACACCTGAAATTGCCAGCTACTAGGAAGTCAATGGAGATCTGCTACAGCCTGGAGCTGAAGCCTCAGTGCACAGGGCTACATCAGTGAAATTGAGCAGAGGAGCGCAGCAAGCATCTGCCCCAGGAAGCAGCCCCAAGCAAGCAGGATCAGATACATACCGAGACATGCTCATTTACAGAGCAAAACAGTAATTTTTAGTTTACACTATTTCCCTTCGAGCAAGAACACACACTTGCAGCATTCCTTACAAGATCCAGCAGCAGCACTTCTGCCCAGCCCCATCAACTGTGTACTCCGATGCAACAGTCACACAGGGAGACAATACAATTGTAACACCAAATGGTACTTTGGAGAAATCCATTATCTTTCAAAATGCCATCTCATTAATTTTAAAGGTATAGCCGACTTAAATCTGATCGTTGGCGAGATGTAAACACTTTAGTATTTTAATTAAGAAAAAAAAATATGTATTTAAAAAGCTGTTGATTATTCCAGCTATAATTTTTTCCACACGCTTGTATATTATAGGGAGTGGAATGAGTCTGCTACATTAGTCTCAGATGTACTTAGGGAGAAGTTTATGTAATGATTTCTAGTTGACCTTTGAATTCCACTCGTTTGACAGTGAGTGATTGTGTATATTTACAACTTTGTCATTCCTTCAAAGTAGTCTGACAGGGATTAATACGCACTTGATCTTCCTTGTGTCAGTCAAAGCAGAAAGGCTATTTATGTTTACCACTTTTGACACCTTTTCTTGGTAAAAAGAACGATGGCTGGTCTTTTTCTTTCTTTTTAGTTGATATTTAGAGGGATGGAGAAGAGATGGAGAGACAGAGAGAGGGAAGGTTTGTCTGTGCATCCATGCACACATGCATGCACCGATCTAAGAGCACAAACATGACCACAGATGGCCATGGAGCACTAATGTTGCCATTTCACTGGCTTACTGGCGATTACTGGATTTGCCTTTTGTTCTTACTGTACTCCGAGACAACGTAAGGATCTGCCGCTTTTATTTTTACTGTATCAGTTATATAAAAGGGGTTTTTTGGTGGTGACAAATGAAGCTACAAGACAGCTTTCGAAGAGATGTAGTCAAGGCAGGTAACAATGAAACCCCAATATGCAGACTAGGCTCATTATTTACATAATTTTCTTTCTCCTCTGATTTTATAATTACTTTAATTATAGCATAGCTCTTACACTCTACTGATCTAGCAGTTGGATTGGGAGATATTTGCTAAATAAAACCCATCATTGTTACAATGCAGGCAGAGTATAAATCATCAGATGACAACTCCTGTATTCATTACAGATAATAGACTTAGGCATGAGAGGGAATGCTTGATAACCACCTTGATTTAATGACAAAAACAAACAGGACTTTAATGCTACAGGAAATTTGGCAGGAAAAGAAGCTTTCAAAAAAGTTCACAATCAGTGCTTCTTAATACTCATAAGTATGTCTCTAGTGTAAAGTCCTTCTTGGAGGATCCAAGATCAGATCCTTGGTGTTGGAATAGTAGATAAACCAATGCTTTCAGCCCATTGCTGAATTGAACAAAGGAGACGGTCTGTACTCAGTTCCATAGAGATGAGTCACTCTCTTTAATAGTGTCAGTCCTGCCTGCTTGAACATGGAAATAATACTAGGGCAAGCACCCAGGCTTAGGTGGTTCAGTGATGGGATAACACAGCAAGTTCATTCAGCCAAAGCCTGCACCAGCCCTGACCTCTCACCATGTCAAGGGCTGGACTAATTGGGGTTCTTTGACCTTGTTTTTTAAAACAGCTGTTTCTGCAATATAACAAAGTTTCAGTTTCTCCCAAAACACAGGAAAGGGAGAGAATGGGAAATAAAGGACAGCTAAATAAAGAACAAATGGAAAAAGGATATCCCATTATGTGAAAAAGTGAGGATGGATTGAGGACTCACCGTAAAATCACTATGATGGCTTTTCTATCTGGTGCTCTCTACAGATGGATTTGCAATTATTGGCAGTGTCTCTCTCTTTTCTTTTCTTAGATGCAGGTTTCAAAAGCGATTAGTGAGTTTGAGTGTTGATCTTAAGGCACTTTAACAGGGTTGACTGTCAGAAGGCAGACACTTGCTGTCCGAAAATCAGCATACTTTCAAATGTCTGAAGCTAAATACCTGTGAGTAAAGGTGCCTGCATCTTACATTCTTATCTGTTTAGAGCAGTTATGCTGATATAAAATGCATTATTTTTTTTCTCTGTGAAACTTGAAGTGGGACTTCAGGCCTAATGTTCATTTTGTGCGAAGATAAAGCAAGACTGAGAAGAAAGAAATTACTTCTTCATTTCCTAGCTTGGAAATGATGACAATCTTAATATTCAATAGATTTGTGTCCTCAGAGGTGGAGCTGGACTGACTACGGGCCTTACCACTTCTTTCCATTACAAAACCTTGTTCTCAGTTGCCTGCCAAATATTAACAAATTATGCTGAAATTTTCCATGACAGGTGTCAGCCTCACCCTGGATTTTTCAGGGACAATTTCAGCTATGCCCTTCACACACCGAAGGCAGCATTTTTGTGGAAAAAATTTGTTCATATGATTAAAGACTGTATCACTTTACTGTGATGCATAGGCTCACATAAGAGGTGAATTAAAATTA